ATAGGTATACCTACCCATTTAAAAACAATGGTATCCCCCTCCCAAAAATAAAGTTAACGGACATTTTAAAAAAGGAAACTTTGATAATCTGAAATCATGTTCCTGCTAAGCCCATGAGGACCAGAGCAGCAGAACAAAACACCTTTAACACTTGCTATGAGCAAGGCTTTGAATTCTTGCTGTAAAACTCACCTCTGCACTTTTCAGAGATTTCAATAGATTGTTGACTGTTTCTGGAAATGCACTGCCCAACATCCTTCCCATCTTCTCATAAAATGCCCCAACACAAGCCACTGCTGCCCTGTAAAAATGGTCTCACTAGTTACTAATACAATTTCTGGGCTGGCAAGCTGGCTCTTGCCATCAAGCCTGCTGACCTGAGTTCCATTCCCAGGACCCAAATGGTAGAGAGAACCAACTCCCACAAGCTGTCTGCTGACTCCATGTACACAATGTATTTCACACATACACACAAACTAATAAATGTACAAAAAATTTTAAATATAATTTAGCATAGTTTTTTATTTTCAAAAATTAATTTGCATTTATCTATAGAATTTTAAGATCAAGTTAATCTAGTCATCAATAAACTTGTAAGCAAATGGTCTCTGTCTCAGCTACTCAATTTTGCTCCTCTAGGATGAAAGCAGCTAAATTAGCAAGCAGGTCTGAACCCCAAAATCATTTCACTTCTTTAGCTGGCTGGATAGTTAAAGCAGACTAGACTGTACATCCCTCCCTACTTCCCTCACCATCTCTTCTGTGTCCATCTGGAGCAAGAATATGATTTCCACCCGAATGGATCAAAAGACTCCTGACACCATTGCTCATACCATATCAATTCTCCTAACGGTGCCCACGTCTTAGCGGTGACGGACACGAGGATGTTCATCCACTTCCTCAGACCTAGTTAGAACTTCCTGTCTGTACTATGCTATGCCTCAGGGTCACCCCTCTAGGGTCTTTATGATTTGAAGTTCCTAAATAACTTTAAAAAAGCAAAAGGGAATACAAGGATTCCTGTAAAAGTGCACTTACAATTTTGTTGGTAAGTAGGCTGCAGTGTCGTCCTTACTTCTGATAATGTCGTTACATTTATCTAGTGTTTGGAAAACTGTGTACGTATCCCCAATGCTATAAAGCGCTGCAAGGTTTTTAGCTAACAATTTTCGAGTAGGTGGTCCAGGTGAGCTGCTTATTAATCCAGTTAACTGTTCAACAAGTTTTTTCTGTTTTTCTTTTACATCTGTCTGTTAACAAAAAAAAAAAAAAAAAAGAAGAAGATAATTTTTTCCTCGTAGCCTTATTACTTTCTAGTCAAAAAATACTTAATAAGTATGGTGCTTTAATACTTAAAATCTGTATTCTCACAAATAAAAACTCTTATGAAAATGAAAACATCAGTAAAAAATATCCAGTCTTGCCCAGCTTAAATCTTATTTTCCTTCAATGTTCAAAAATTGTATTTCAACAAAAATAGCTAAGGTATGAGCCAAACACTTTCCAGACCAACTTAGGAAGTTAAATCACATATTAGATGTATAGATGACTGGTATCTAAGATTTTTCTTTCCCCTGTAAAAGCAGGTGAAGTTGTCCTCTAAGTTATATGTAGTAAAGGAAACCAAAGAAAATTTGAAGAGACCTAAGCAACAGGATGTAATTCTCAGATCTACACATAATCAATATGTGATTGAGAGGCAGATGATGGAAAGTAAATGGATTCTAGATGTTTATGGCTAATTACCTTAATATTTGCTGATCAACATTGTATGAGGCTTGAGAAAGAAGTAAAGAATGACTTTAGGAGTTTGGGAAAGGATAGGTTTAAAAAAGGAAATCAATAATTTGGTTTAGATGTGTTAACTCTGAGATATCTGTGTGTGTAGGTGTGGAAAGAGAAGAAGAGAAAGAAAGAGAAAGGGAAGCTAGAGGACTCCTGGAGAGAAGGGGAGGGAAGAGAGAGAAGGGGAAGAGGGAAAGAGAAAATGAATGAAAGAAATAAAGAATGAATGAATATGGATCATGTATCCCATGCTGGCCTTGAATTTACTATGTAGCTGAGCATGGCTGTGAACTTTTGATCCTCCTGTCTCCACTTCTCAGAGGCTGGGATTATTGCGATGGGCCTCCACATAAAATGAAGTTTTTATGAAGTGCTAGGAATTAAGCTCAGAGCTTTTTGCAGATTAGATGCAAGTACTCTACCAACTGAGCTACATCCCAGCCCAGGAGATTTCATTTGAAAGTTGGGTGTATTAAATGGTGGTAGAAATCATAGGACTAGGTATCACTAAAAACTAAGACTGACAACTCTCACAACAAATCAAGATCAGTGTTAGGTATTCAAAGTGGGGGATCAGCTGTGAAAAGATGTGAAGGGGCCAAATAAAACAGATCCTGATCATTGTTTTGGGCATCTTGAGTTATATGATAACTTGAAAAAAAGACTTTTCAGTGGAAGAAACAAATGTCCAGTTACAGAAGACTTAAGAGACAGATATAAATTCCTAGTTAAAGGTTACAAGGGAATCCATGCATTTACTGTCTTTCTGATAGGCAGCAACAACAGCATCATAGCACAAGTCTGAAAAAGCCAGGACAATGGGAAAAGCACCCAGACAGAGACTACAAGCCAAGAATTCCCAACAGAGAAAACTAAGAAATTAAGACACAAAGTACTCCAGTAGTTCATATTTTTTGAAGCCCTGGAAGACTTTTCAGGTGAGAATAAATCTGCACCTAGAAATTAAAGGGATAACGGGTTGACCATCAAAGAGGCTATACCAGAGTGCATCCACCACACCCAGCATTTCAGCACTCAGGCAGGCCATGCCACAAGACAGCTGTAAGCTTACAGCTACTCTAGGATACATGAGTCCCAGGCCAGCCAGGAACAACTAATAAAACCCTGTCACACGAAGTAAAATGAAAGCCAACAAACAGACAAAATCTTCTACCGGCCTCTCCACCATTATAGAAGAAGGGGAGAGGCTTGCTTTCTTTAAAAGAGTAGACAGAACATCTTTGGACAAGAAGGGATCAGGCACAACTGTGGACTTGAGGCCACTGTAGAAAAACAGGAATTAAATGAATGTTTATATACTGAATGTTGAAGTCATTAGGCTCCCTAACTCGAGTCCTCAATCCTAGACAATTAACCATATTCCCTTCAGACAACAGAGTAGGAAAGTATGTTCTAGGGAACAGTCTATAGGACCACATTGAGCTAGTAAGGTCATGACAAGCCAACTGTGACATTCAGTTAACAAAATCCACCTTTTCCAGAAAACCTTTTATGATTCACTTGTAAATCTTCTCACTTGAGGCTTTCCTCAATGTAATAATGTTAAAACATGCAGAACACAAACTTGAATCAAACAGGCTGTGCAGGAGGGAGAAGAAGAAATAAAAATCTCTTATTAAGTCCCAAGAGAACATGCAGATCCTGGGAGTACAGGCACTGCAGAAAGCGTTTCCATGCACTGATGACAAAGAGCGGCACCAGCCACTGTCACGGTTTTCTCCGGTCACACACTGAGCTGCAACAAGCAGGATTTAGATAGGGCTTGGGTTTTGTTCTGGACTAAGAGAAGGATAATCTAGAAATCCCCAGTAGTATAACACCCTCCAGTTCCTGAGGTGAATGGCCCATAACATTTTCAAAACACAGTGTTTTACATTTTCTTTATATTAATCTCATGGGCTGGCAGGGGGGAGCAATACCTACCTTGTTAGCAGCAACTAGGACTTTATCAAGAAATCTTAACCATTCAAAGATGAACACTGGTCTCTTTGCTTCCGTGATTTGAGCCAATGCTTCTTCGTTTAGCAATAAGCTGTGAGCTAACTCCATTATTGAAGTTCTTAATTCACACCTTAAATGAACAGATGAGTTTTAAATGAAAGAAATATATGTAATGATTTTTTTATTTATGTGTAGGAGTGTTTTGCCTATATGAACATATGTGCACCATGTATGCCTGGTGCACACAGAGGTCAGAATAGGGTGTTGGAGGTCAGAATGGGGTGTTGAATCCCCTAGAACTGTTACAGATGGTTTTGAGTCACCATGTGGGCGCTGGAAACTGAACCTGGGTCCTTTACAAAAACAAGTATTTTTAACTACTGAGCCAGCCATCTCTCCAGCCCCAACATGTAGGGCTTTTAAAATATTAAATGTCAAGTGTCATAAATGCCACTAAGACAGAGAAAGTATGGTTTCACTTCTCAAATAACTTCTTTGACACACAAAGAAGTGTGAAGACAACCATATAGACAAAATCGAAATGGCAATAAGAATGGAGTGAAAGGAAAATGTAAACACTGAAAAAAAAATACATTATTCCGAGGTGGGGGTAGTTTGCCTATCAGAACATATGTCATTAACTCATTCTACCACAAGAACCCCAAATCACAGAGCTCACGCATCTTGGCGAGCTTTCTCTGTCCCCGGCGGGGGTTAACAGGCACCTTTAACAACCCACTCGTTCCCTAAGGAGGCCCAGTATAAGGACCCTAGGCTTCCAACCGGCGAGGGGCGGGCCAAACGGGGACCCTGCGGCCAGGACGCCTGGGACAGCCCCTCGATCCGGCCGTGCTCGGGGTCTGGGTGCATCCGGCTGCTCCGAGGATCCCGACAGCTTGGGGCCAGCGGAAAACGCAAAAAGGGGTCCCGGGCCGACCCGAGATGTCAGCCTCACGTCACAGGGGGTCCTCGAACTGTCAACCCCACGAGGTTGAGGCTCCCTGGCCTCAAAGCTCGAGCTCCCGCTGAAAAAGTCCCGGGGCAAGGGGATCTCTGTGCGTGTCAACCCGCATGCTTTGACAGAGCGCGGGACCGCCTCACCTCCTAGTCTGGCAGGGCCGGATCAGCTGAGTTCCGCAGGCTGAAGCCACTGCCGAGGGACCCGGATGCCCCGCCTCCCAAGCTCCGGCCAGCAGGAAGCGGGAAGACGACGCCTGCGTGAGACGCTGGTCACGCGCACGCGCACTCCTCCCGCTCTTTTAACCCCGCCCGCCCAGGGCTCCAAGCGAATCTGCTGTCAGAAATAAGTGGGGTCGGGGGTCTGAGGGCCCCGCGGTAGTTGGACAGCCCTTGCGCGGCACGCGCTGGGCGGAGCTGGGTGGTAAAGCTGCAATTTTAGGGAGCGCAGACACCCAGGAGGGTGACTGACTGGTGTTGGTGCAGGTTGGCTGGGACTGGCCCGTCAAAACGTCACTAACGCCCCATCCGTGAGTGGTCGTTCTGGTAGGTCGCTGCAGGCGTGAAGAGCGGGGAAGAGAAGAGCCCGGGATGCCAGACTTAGCCCATCTCCGTGTATTCAGTAGCCCTTGCTTCAAACTTGGCGTGCCCTCTGCCCAGTATGTAGATAAGCTAGCACTTATAATCATCCTGCTGAGAGAATGGTTACCCATTATTTAGGTATTTAAGCGAAGAGCTTCACACATACCATCTCCAGCCGTCAGCACACGCTGGGCTCTTCCTCTAGGGTAGACCCAGAATCCCACCACTTCGCTGCCTCTCAAGCGATGGTCTAGACCACCAGGGTTTCTGCCTGGGTTTTCTATCAATCGCCTTGGAGTTTATGCTTATGTTTGAAGGAAGTTGATAATGGTAGTGTGTATATTGCCCTCGTAGCAAGAGAGTATTCACACTTGAGGACCTAATTTCTTATTCCACTTCTTAACAGTAATTTAACGTCCTCACCAGTAGTCATTAACTTCCTCAAACTTGGTCAATTGGTGAAGCTGTAATACCCAGGTATGAAGTTTCAGTGTGATGAGATATGAAAAGCGTAAGTATAAGATGGAATAACTGTAAAAGGCAGAGCTTTAAAAATAACCTGCAGTCCCTTGCACTATGTGTGTATGTGTGTGGGGGGAGCTGTATTTTGAGACAGGGTCTCACTGTGTATTTCATGCTACCCTCCGACTGCTGAGTGCTGAAATTACACCAGAGGGCCACTGTGTCTGACTGTGGAGTTAAATGCTTTCCTTAAAAATAATGCAGATTGGGCTAGAGATTTAGCCCAGTCGTAGAGCATGTTCCTTATATGTCTGAGGCTCTGGATTCCATACCCAGCCCAGCAACAATTACAGTCTCATTCTCTTTCAGGAGCAAGATCACGGAGACCTGTATTCTTTGTGGTTGTCAACAACTTAGTTAGCCAGATTGAGCCTCAATTTTCCCAGCTGGAAAGTGGAACTAACTGTTCGTAACTAGTGAGCTGTTCATGAACTAGGTGAGTACTAACTATTATGGGTAGGAAGACTGCTATCAGGCTTGACTAATTTTTAATGTGGCCCACTGATTTGGCTCACCATTTGTGGCTCAGATCCTCCCACGGGGACGTTGCCATAGAGCTTCTTGGGTGTTCCCTTATATGATCACCAACTTCATTCAGTTAATTCATACTGCCAGCTTTACAGAGTGCAATGTGTAGTGTGACCAAAATATTCCTCTAAGCTGGGCAGTGATAGCACATCCCTTTAATCCCAGTACTCCGGAGGCAGAGGCAGGTGGATGTCTATGAGTTTAAGACCAGTGTGGTCTACAGAGTGAGTCCCAGGACAGTCAAGGCTACGTAGAGAGACCCTGTCTCCAAAACACCAAAAATGAAAGTTACTCTAATATACAAAATCCTGTTGGCTACACAAACTGCTCAATGTGGGAGAAGGTTAGACAGTTTTCAAAAAAGCCAAGATGCAAGCTGTGCTAGGAGCAGGCCATCTTGGAGAACACTACACGGTTATATGAGAGTTTGTCTCATAACTGGAGACTCACAAGTTCAAAGCTAATGTGAGTTCCAAGCCAGCTTGAGATACAGGGTGACCTGATTTCAGGGAAGACGGGGGGGGGATGGGGGGGGGAAGGCGGAGACACAGAACGAGAGTATTTACCTCTGTGGTGATTTGAATTAGAATGACCCCAATAGGCTCATATTTCTGAGTACTTGGTTACCAGTTGGAGCACTTGTTTGGGAAGGATTAGAAGGTGTGTTCTTGTTGGAGGAGTTAAGACAATGCAGGGGCTTTGAGGTTTCCAAGGCCCATACCCATTCCCAGTTAGCTTTTGTTGGGCTGGCTGCTCCTCTGTTGCTAGGACACAGGATGCTGAAATTCTCTATCTTTGTGCATAAGGGAGCATCATGAAGCATTGCCACTCTTCATGGTTGAGTTCCCCTTTGATAAACTAAAATTATAATGATGTTGATAATTCCGTTACTTTGTCCTACTTGATTTGCAGGTAGTATTGCCATCTGAAGTAAATCATGGCAGAAGAAGAGGACTACATGTCAGATTCCTTCATTAACGTTCAGTAAGTAAATCTGTATACCTCATATGATGATAGACAAAGTAAATATAGACTATAAAATTTAATAAAGGACATTGGCTGGGTAGTGGTGGGGGTCAGATATTTTTGTTTTGAGACAGGGTCTCATGTAGCTCTCAGGCTGTCCTTCAACTCACCGTGTAGCTCATTCCTGTACCTCCTAAGAGCTGAGATTGAAGGTGTGTGCTACCATGCCTGGTTTTTGCAGTCTTGGGGATCATAAGAGTTTCATGCACGTACTCTGTCAACTGAGCTACCCCCCAGCTCAGGATATTTTTTAACATATATTTTAATTTAAAAATTTTATTTATCATTGGGGATAGGATACTACATCCATGTGGAGATCAGAGAACAACTTTCAGGAGCCAATTCCCTCCTCCCACCATGGATTCTGAGAATCATACTCAGGTCAACACCTTTACACAGCAAGTCTGTTTACCTGGTAAGCTATCTTGCTATTCCAGGACATTGATTTTTAAATGTGACATTAAAATCAACCTTACTGCCAGGCATTGTGGTGCACGCCTTTAATCCCGGCACTTGGGAAGCAGAGGAAGGCAGATAGAATCCTTGAGCTCAAGCCAGCTTCTTTTACAGAGAGAGTTTCAGGAAATTCAGGGCTTCCTAGAGAAACCCTGTTTGGAAACAAACAAAAACTCAGTCTTACTGTTTTATGGGAAATGTCCTGTGTGTCCACACAAAGATACTAATAGTTTTCTTGTCTCTTTGGTGCTGACCGTTTTACTGCTGCTCTTGACCCTCTTTGGGTGCCCTCTTCTATCTTTGTTTACCTGTTCCTCCCCTTATGGCATCTTATTGTCTCCTCCAGCCTTTATTCAGCTTTGTTGTTTATTGTTATTTACCTCTTAGAAAAATTACTGTAAAGTATTATTTCTAACGTATTCAACTTTATACTTCCTTTAGTTTCCCACACGGTCTGTAACTGGCCTTCATTGCTCTGCTGCAGCATTGGTAGCAAAGATGATCCTGTCTCAAATCCCCAATAGAAACTAATGTCGAGGGAGTACCTGGCAAACAGGGAGGAAACTTTCTGCACTCCTCTATGCGGTTTCCTTTATTTTTCAGAGAAGACATCAGACCAGGTGTGCCAATGCTGAGGCAGATCCGAGCAGCCCGTCGAAAAGAAGAAAAGCAACAGGAAGCTAATCTGAAAAATAGGCAGAAGAGTGTGAAAGAAGAAGAACAGGAAAGACGCGACATCGGGTTGAAGAGTGCACTAGGCTGTGAAAACAAAGGATTCGCTTTGCTCCAGAAGATGGGCTATAAGAGCGGCCAGGCTCTGGGCAAGACTGGTGAGTCACAGCAGAACTGAATTGGGTCTCTTCACCACCCAGTTGCAATGTACTTTTTAGCTACGAAAAAGCAAAACAACTTGAGTTTCTTGGTATCTTTGGTGCAAATAGTCTTTACAGAGATGACTTCTCACATCCATTTTAAATGTCACACATGCCAGCATGAGCTTAGCATCCCACCACAGCCTGGAAGGCATTGGCAAGTGGCTGACAGTGGAGGCAGCAAAGAATGATAACAGATGATGGATAGAGAAGCATAATGACCAGACAGCAAAGAAGCAACTTTGGGGACCATGACAGGACTCTTCCCGGCTTGCTCCGTGCCCACTGCAGCCGTCTGAATGACCTTCCTGTTGCAGAAGCTGTATTTCCCTTTAGGAAATTAAAGTGCTTATTAAGATGCAACAGCTGTAAATGGTGGCTTCAGTTTGCTTTTTTTCTACTTTAGTCACTTTGGTTTTTCATATAGGAAGACTGAGTGTTTTCACTTGAGATTTCTGCCCTCTAAGACTTTTATGCCCACAAAATCACTTCTTAATATGGCATAAGTGCACTGGAGAGGCAAAGGCAGGTGGATCTCTGAGTCCAAGGCTAGCTTGGTCTACATAGTAGGTTCAAGGACAGTCAGAGAACTACATAGTGAGACCCAGTCTCAAAGATAGATAGGTAGGTAGATAGATAGATAGATAGATAGATAGATAGATAGATAGATAGATGATTGATTGATAGATGATAGACAGATGGTTGATAGATAAATGATAGATGATAGGATAGATAAATGATAGATAGGTAGATAGACAGATAAATAGATAAAAAGGCATAAGGGGCTGAGAGAGCTTACTGGGAAGCAGGTATTAAGTCAGGAGAGGTATTAGCTGACAAAGAGAGTATTAGTTTCCAGAATTCAGTTTGAAATATCATTGAAACTAGGAGTGAAAAATAATAATAGTAAATAAAAAATAAAAAAATAAAAAGAACCCGGGAGTGAGACTACGGAGAGCATTGTAGTGTCATATGCAATGCTGACAGATCTGAACTTTGTTGTAAATACACTATTTCTGAGTTATGTTTTCTCTCTCTCTTTTTTTTAGGAGCTGGTATTGTTGAACCAATTCCTCTCAATGTCAAAACAGGTATATGATCATTTTTTAGTACACTAATGGCAGTAACTGAGCTCAGTCTGCTTGATATGTTTTACAATGCTGCCCTTATAGTTGCTATCATAGGAAGCCTATGAAATAGTAAAATGTTAAACTTCTAAATCTTTTAAAAGTTGTTTTTGTAGGGAAAATTTAAGTTTTGATGACATAGAAGTAATGGAATATAAATTTTAAATCGTAAAAAAAACCAGGAGAGCCAGAAGTAATCATTTGTAATTAGACATCTGTACTCTCAGATGTAGAAGAGTGGAGATGCGGACGCTAGCCTGAGCTCCATAGTGAGACTGTGCCGAAGAGCTAAGGACTAGGGAAGAAGTCATTGGTAGAGTACCTGACAGTCCAGGACGTAGCCCTGTCTCTGATCCCAGTGCCACAGAAACTGGGGGGAAATAGGTACAACTATGGAAAGCAAAGTGCCTTTCTTGTCTGTTGTAGTGTACTAAAAATGTTAAAGCAGATTTATCAATGACATTTTCTTTTTAGCCTAATTGCTTGGATTAACTCAAGAGAAACAGTGCATACATTTAGGAACCTGAGATAGTTGATATTATTTTCCTGATCTGTAAAAATTGTGTGTAGCATTACTGTGTTGGCTTGACTCTGTGATCTTCGTCAAAATCAAATCATGCATTTGGGCCTCAAGACAAAACAAAAACTAAACTTTTGTGTTTCCTGTTGTTATTTTAGTGAAGTAAGTTTAGATAATTACAGTCAAGTGAGAACTGTATTTAATTTCTTAAGAACTTAAATTGTCACATTTTGAAATTTAAAACACAAAAAATATTAAGTAATTTTCTCATCAGAATTTTGTCTGTGACCAGGAAAAAGCGGCATAGGTCACGAGTCATTATTAAAGCGGAAAGCAGAGGAAAGGCTAGAAAACTACAAGAGAAAAATTCACATGAAAAACCAAAATGAAGAAAAGGCTGCTGAGCAGTTTCGGTAAAACTTTTTCTTTGAACTGGTTTTGCTTCAAATTCCATTTACTATGGTGTGTTCGTTGGTATGTGGATTTATAAAGTAGTTAAGAGAATATAGATATTACTACAAAATCCTTCCTTCCATCAGGATGCGACTGAAAAACAAGCAAGATGAAATGAGGCTTGAAGGAGACCTGAGAAGAAGCCAGCGTGCTTGCCAGCAGCTTGATGCCCAGAAGGTTGGAGGCCACCTGCTTCTAGTTTCATAGTGATGATTTGCCTCATTTTTTTCTAAATATTTTATTTATTTATTAAGTATACAATGTTCTGTCTGCATATACATCAGCAGAGCAGAAGAGGGCACCAGATCTTATTATAATTGGTTGTGAACCGCCACGTGTTTGCTGGGAATCGAACTCAGGACCTCTAGAAGAGCAGACAGTGCTCTTAACCTCTGAGCCATCTCTCCAGCCTGCCTCATATTTTTATTAAGAAAAAAAAATACCCTCCATGCCCTGTTCATACCATCTTTCCCTTAAAGCTTTCGTTTAATGTGCATTGCCACCTACAGTGGTAACCAACACTGATAACTGAGTTTCTCCAGGAACTGTTTCCTGAGTGTCTAGTAAGGGTTAAATAGCTGTTCTCATATTCAAACTATTTTTACTCAGGACTGGGATGTATAGATATTCTGTTCCCCATAATGTTTGATTATCCAAAATAACCTAATTTTAGTCCATACTTAGCACTTAGTATGTCTGTTGGGAAATTAAGACAGAATACTTTCATTTCAGATAGGAATAGTTTTAAAGGAAATCTTTGCCTTTTACAAATCACAGTGAATACTATCAAAATAAAATAACTGCACTTAAAGTCTCAAATATTGGTATAATTTCTATCACATATAAGTAGCAGGGAGTAATGGCTCACTTCACTGTTTTTCTACTATCTTACATGTATTTCCTGGCACTTGGTGACTTCTCAGCTTATATATACAGTCTTTTATATACCATCTATCTTTCCTGCTGTCAGTCCAGCAGGAACTAGGGGACAAATTTCTACTTGTCCTTTTGGTCCTCACTGTTCATGGTCCAATGCTTTACTGAGAAACTGTGCTCAGTCAGTGTTACTTGGAAGAACAAATTCATGTTAGCACAGACACACTTAAGACACCACAAGTATACTTGGTTGTGTTTTATAAAAACATTTCTGCATTTTCAGAATATTCAGGTTCCCAGAGAGGTATGGTACTGGATAAGGCCTGAAGAAGACACTGAAGAAGAGGAAGTGGAGGAGGAACAGGATGAAGATGAATACACGAGTGAAGATTTGAGTGTATGTTTGGGTACCATTGTTCACTCATAGCAGGACTTCAGCCTTGGCAGTATAACACCTGATGCTGGGTAGTTCTTTGCTGTGGGCAGTATGATAGGATGTGTAGTTCTGACACCCTGACTGGAGCCGTGAAGGGAATGAGGAAAGGGCAGACACACGTACAGAAAAGCTAGGATAAGGTGGGGAGTGTTCACCTGACGGAGGTTACCCCAGCAACCCTGAAATTCAGTGTGTTTATTAGGAGAGTGTCAGGTGGGGCGGGGCGAGCTAGTCTCGATAGGAAGTCTCTCTGGGCAAGCAGTCTCAGGCTGAACGTACCAGAGGAGGAAGCTGCTGTTGGCAGTGTTTATTCACACTCATCAGTCGTACAAACACTCATTTTTAGACCCCTGAGGAGAGCTTAGCTGTTCTCTTGAGCTTTAGCTTTCCCCAGGCGAGGCTTTGCCGCTGTTCTGGAGCTGAGGCGATGGAGTCCTCAACGTGGCCATGCCAATGGCAGCAGCACACATTCACTCAGGACGTCATGCAGTCAAGGCCTCCTTCGTCCCCTGCATAGCAGCATACCTGGTCACCACCCTGCAGATGCCAATTGCAGATCCCCCAGTGACAACCAAAAAGTTTTCCCAAGCATTCTCAATAGCCCCTGGGGAGGAAAATGCCCCCCCCCCCATCCTGACTGAGAGCTGCTGAGTTACAGGATTTTTTTTTCTAACCCAAAAATGAAAAATTCATAGATACTTGCATTTAGTTTTAGATTTAGTTTACCCTCTTAAGATTAGCTGCAAATATAAATGATTGCATTTGCTCCTGGTTAAATTTCTAAAAGTGGTCCTAATGTGTACCTCATCCACTCACAAAACAAAACAAACAGAAAATACAGTCAGGAGGAGGTAGAGGGTAGACAAAGATGGCTCAGTGAGTGAAGGCAGCTGCTGCTAAGCATGACAACCCGAGTTCAGCCCCTGGGACTCCCACGATGGCAGAGAAAACAACCCTCCCAAGTTCTCCTCAGACACACACTGGCGAGCACATGCCACACACAGACGCATAGACACACATGCACGTAATGTAATTATTCAAGAAAGGGTGATAATACTCCTATAGTTACTAGTATGTGGAATTTTCCTAGGCAATATTCACAGCTCTAAGCACACGTGTACCGTGAGTTCTGTGATGCCTGGCTGAAGGAGGCAGTCCTCCCTCCCCTCACCTGAGCGACGAATTCCTTGAATGTAGAAGAGGTCTCTAAGAATCCTAGTTATCCCCAGACATGATGGCACACACTTTAGTCCCAATGCTCAGAAGGTAGAGGCAGGTAGATCTCTGAGTTCAAGGCCAGCCTGGTCTACAAAGCAAGTTCCAGGCCAAAAATAAATAGTGAGGCCCTGGTTTTTTGTTTGTTTGTTTTATTAAAAAAAAAAAAAAACAAAACAAAACTTGAGTAACTGAGAGTGCACCAGAAGAGTTCAAGCCTGGGACTAAGTAACTGAACGGACATCCAGGAGGCCAGACTCTGGTCAATGTGAGCCACTGACAGCCTATGTCCTCTAAACAGGTGCTGGAAAAACTGCAGATCCTCACAGGCTACTTACGAGAAGAACATCTGTATTGCATTTGGTGTGGGACAGCCTATGAAGGTAAGAAAATGATTTATACTTTAAAAAATACTGCCTGTGAATACATGTTTATTTTTTATAAAACTCACATTTCCTACAAACAGAAGTGCTTTTCTTATTCCATTCAAATAGCAATGTGGGACCTGTGTTGTAAAGAAATAGTAACTATAGAAATAACTGAGTTTTTATTAGAATTCAACATTTAGCTTTTCAATAACTGAATGTGCAAGAGGGAATTTTCATATTTTATAACTAAAGAAATTTTAATTCTAAAGAATAACCTAAAGGATAGGCATGGTGGCACAAATCTTTAATCCCAGCACTCAAGAGATAGAAGCAGATGGATCTCTCTAAGTTCAAGGACAGCCTGGTCTACATAGCAAGTTCCAGCCCAGCCAGAGGCTACATAAGGAGACCCTGTCTCAACCACCATTCCCCTTTAAAAAAAAAAAAAAGAAGAAGAACCATAAAGATAGATAATGATTTTCTTCATGCTATATTTTTGAAGATTCATTCTTTGATAGATATTTACACTAAAATTTTAGAACTAATTTCTGTTTAGGTAGACTATTGTCCCTGACTCATAAAATTCAAGTATGTTGTAGTCCATTCTTTTTTTTATTGTGAAGATGAAGTGAGGTTAACCCTTGTCAAATATCTTAACAGAGCCAATTACCTCATGTGTTTGTCCATTTCACCGTGGCTAACTTGTAATTAAGGACTTTATATTTGAGAGTGAAGATTATTTTATAATTATTTTCATCTCTTAAACTTTTATGTGTATAGGTGCCATGCCTATGTGTATGTCTATGCAACACATACATTCAGTGTTCATGGCGGCCACATGTGGTGTGGGGAATGGAATCCAGATTCTCTGGTAGAGCAGCCACAGCTCTTAACCACTGAGCCGTATCCTCAGCCCCTATGTCCTCATTTTTTATTATTATTTTAATCTTTTCTTCATTTATTTTGTAGAATCAATAAGAACATTACTGGTCAATACTACTACATGCTATTTTCTAAAAGTTTACTATAAATTCATATTCACCTGTATTTCCCTCACATAAATTACAGATAAAGAAGACTTATCTTCCAATTGCCCAGGACCAACCTCTGCAGATCATGACTGAGATTATTCCCAATAAAATAAAACCATGTATTCAGGTGAGGAAAAAAAGCCTTTACATAGCACTTCATTCTTGTAAAAGTGTGTTCTACTCTGGATAAAATTGCTCACTGACTTCGGAATTAGTTATTGTTCCTTCAAAACGCAAGTACTATAGACATGGGCAATTATGAGTCATGGTACTGTGATGCTTGTAGAGTTTACCAAGGATAACAATAGCTGACACACTTAGTCCCCTTGTTACTTTGGATAGATTGAGAAAAGAGGCCTGGGAATCAGGAAGAAATCAGTATCTGCCTAGGGCCTGAGATGTACCTGCCAAACCTGTGCGAGACCCTGAGTTCAGTTACCAGCTGCAGAACTAAGCTTATCAGCATGAAGCTGAAATACAGTAGAGCAAGGCCAGCTTCCTCGACTCAGACTTCCTGATAGTTCTTGTCTGGAGAAAAACGCAGGCCTGCCCGTGGGGCAAGGGCCTATGTTGTATTCTAGGACTTGAAGAAATAGTTTCATCGCTATGTTTTTCAAGAGTGAATAGCAACCGGTATTAGGAATACCAGCTAACACTTTCTAGACGTTAGCTCTCGGGGGTAGGGAGCACACCACGGGCTGAGCCACACATATGTAGCCCCTGTCAGCTAAAACACTTCTGTTGCAAAGAAAGGAATGATGGCTCAGAGGATTCCATACCTCCAGATCATGTCCAGAGTCAGACATCAAAGTCATGGGCCTTTTTCAAAGTTTATATGCTCAGGGTTCTCTAGTAGGTTTATTTTAACTGATCCAGGCAGTTCCTAAATATACACTTAAAAAAAAAAATTCCTGGAGTACACAGCAGCCTGCCTTTGTTTTCCAAAAACGCCACAGCATCACATGGGAACCAATGCAGAAGAGGGCGATTGAGTGGACATAAAGTGGCCAGTACAGCCCTGCACAGTGGGAGGACTGGGGAAGGGCTGACTCTGCTCCGGAGACCATGGTGCACTGCAGTTGCACTAAATTTGGGTTCTAAAGGATGGACACACGAATATACAAAGCTGTGAGGAGGCCACTGCTCTGTAAGTCAGCAGTTCTAAGCATAGAAAATGTACCCACACAAGTCTGGTTATCTGCTTTGGGCAATCTTATTTGTAATTGTTAAAAAGTATAATCAACCCAGATATCTATTGAACAAATACATAAATTAATGCCAAAAAAGGAGTACAATACTCTGAGACAGTGCTATAACATGGGTGAAATTTGGAAACAATTCTACATGAAAAGTACCCCATATATGGTTCTGTTTATTTATATGTGTAGAATGGTCATATCTATAGTCAGGAGGAAGATTGGTAGTTTTCTCGAGTTGTGAGAACATGATGAATCTTTTTTTTTTTTAAACGAAAGTTCATGATAATTTATTAGAACTTGGGCATAAAAAATTATACATGGTCATGTGCATTGGTTGAAAATATCTTGTTACATTAGAAAATAACACAAAGATTTTATTGAGCAAACTAATTGTTTTATATGTAGTGAGATTTTTGAAAGTAACATAGAAAATACTTATATTGAAGTGAAATAAGAGACCATGATTTACCTTGGCGCGCAGATGCATGCATGAGGAGTACATATGCTACAAAGGAGGTATAGTTCTCTTGACATTTTGAGGAAGTCTGTATGTGTTGTCTTCTATCACTGAGGCAAAGACAGCTCATGCTAGGGAGAAACCAATGTGGCTAAGTAACAGCAGAGTTCTAGGATGAAATAAACCCACTTTTAATATGTAATATACTCATACTCACAATGCTTTCCCCTCTCCCCACTGTCTACTCTCCTTCTGCTCCCCCCAGTTCTGCCCTCTTACTTTTTATCTACCCCCCCAATAAACTTTCTGCCTTCTTTCTTTCCTTCTCTTTCTTTTTTTTTTTTTAAAACATAATGAGATCTATACACCCAAAGAAGATAAACATGAAAGAGGACCCGGGGTAAGATGATCAATCCTCACTTAGAAAGACAAATGGGATGTGCATTGGATGTAGGAGAAAACAAGTAACAGGATAGGAGCCTACCGCAGAGGGCCTCTGAAAGACTCTACCTAGCAGTTATCAAAGCTGATACTAAGACTCATAACCAAACCTTCGGCAGAGTACAGGGAATCATATGAAAGAAGAGGGAGTTAATATGACGTGGAAAGGATAGGAGCTCCACAAGGACCAAATATATCCAGGCACAGGGGCCTTTTCTGAGACTGACACTCCACTAAGGACCATGTATGGATGTAACCTAGAACCTCTGCTTGGATGTAGCCCGTGGTAGCTCAGTAACCAATTGGTTTCCCATAGTAAGGGAAATAGGGACTATTTCTAACAGGAACTCAATGGCTGGTTCTTTGACCTCCCCACTCCCCACGGGAGGAACAGTCCTGCTAGGCCACAGAGGAGGACTTTGCAGCCAGTCCTGAAGATGCCTGATAAAACAGGATCGGATGAAAGGGGAGGAGGTCCTCCCCAATCAATGGACTTGGAAAGGGGCAGGGAGGAGATAAAGGAGGGAGGGAGGGTTTAGGAGGGAGGGAGGGAGCAGGATACAGCTGGGATACAGAGTTAATAAAATATAACTAATAATAAAAATTAAAAAAAAGAATCTGTTAATGAATGTGTTTCCTTTGAGGTGACAAAAATGTTTTAAAAATGAGTATAGTATTGATGCAACTCTGAAGAGAATAAACTGTTACATTGTACATGATGGGTAAATGAATTGTATTCAGTATGAATTATAACACACAACATTTTTACTACATTTATTTAATTAGGTTATATGAGTGTGGGTATGGGTGTAGGCATGTGTACCATAGGACATGAGTCAATTCTTTCCTACCATATAGGTGCCAGGGATTGAACTCAGGTCGTCAGGCTTGGTTGCAGGTGCCTTTACCTAAGTCATCTCACTGTCCCTAAAACTTTTTGTTTGTTTAAATTGAGGGGAATTTCTGGTACAAGCAATGGGAAAGAATATGAGCACCAGAGTATGTTCAGGGAAAACTGAACAGGACTGTGTAGCCTGGCCTTACTCTGGTATCAATCCTAATCAAGCACAGGATTCATGATGGCATTTTCTAGAAACGTGGCTGCCAATTCTCAATTTAGGTTTCTGGCCTCCAAAACTTCAGTAAGTGAATATAATGTAAATGACCAAGCCTGTGGTAAAATATTACAACTATAGGAAATTAAAATACACATCTAAGTTAGCAAGAGTAAGGCTCCAGAAGCACTTTGTTTGCCTCGCAGAACTACTACAGTGCTCAGTTAGAATGAAGCCAGAACTGGGGTAGCTACAGCCGTCTAACTATGAGGACATCAGGAAGCACTTCCTGAGTGGAGGACGTTCTACAGAAGGATGACTAGTTCCTCAAGCAAATGTTGAGAGAACAGAAAACACAGGGAGTATGCCACAGAGTAAAAGTCAACCAAATGAAACCTTGGATCCTCCTGTTTATAAACAGCTATATACAAAAGACAGTTTTGAGAATATAAAATTGAATCCAGACTAATTATATGATAATTATATTTCTGTTTGTCTGAGTAGCAGTGATGTGTGATTTTGTTAATATTTCAAAATACTTGTCCATATAAGTCAACTTTTAAGTATTTGCAGCTGAAACACTACAATGCTAAGAGTAACTTTAAAATTTTCCAGCCAAAGAAACAAAAAGGAAGGGGTAGGTGTCACAGCAAAGGTAAAATATTCTCTGTTAAAGCTGCACAATGGCACATACAATCTCATTATTCTTGTATACGTTTGAAGACAAAAAAATATATGTAATAATTAATCTTGAATGAAAATATTTTGTCTTAAAAAAATGTTAATGTGCCAGAGAACCTCAAGTTATGGTGAACATTCAAGTGGGGATGCATGTTGTAAGTCTTTGCCTATTGAGCCTGCAGATGTGTTTTTAATAGAAATGATATATTTGGTCTGTGATAAAAATTTCTTAGGTCTGTTTCTATTGATTCAACTAGTTGTTTGTTTGTTTGTTTGTTTGTTTGTTTGTTTCAAAACTGTACCTGAAATTAGCAATTGAGGTCCTGCTCTGCCCCACTGTTACTCTGATTAAGAAGATACTTGTTATTTCCTGGTTTTTGGAGACAGACGATATATCCTCAGAAGTAAATAAAAGATGCTAAGAGATAAGATGCTTATTTCACAATGTAAAAATATCAGGGAGAGAATGGGGAAATGTTACGCCCTCACTGACCACAATCTTCGGTATTCATGTTAAATGTGGCTTCATCCATTAAAGCTAGTATTAGTCTATTTTTAAAGAGATTTCTTTCTCTCTAGAAAATTTGAAAAAATGTAAATAAATATGGCAAATACCTATATATCTTCACTTATTTTAGCCAAAGGCTAACATCCATCACAGCTACTTTCTTCTTCTTTCTCTGTAACTCCAGCTTCAGGGGATCCAGTGCCCTCCTTTGGCCTGTTGTCACTGCACTCACATACAAAGACATGGACACACAAATAAAAATAACTCTTCCTTAAAAAGAATAGTTCCTCCAATTGTGTGTGTGTGTGTGTGTGTGTGTGTGTGTGTGTGTGATTGCCTCTTTAAGGAAAACAAATTATCTAAGAAAATAACCACATTCTAGGGGCAAAACAGATTCTTACATAACATTGGGAGCAGCACATCATTAGGTACTTCCGCTTTGTTGAACCTTGCCTTACCCCACTAGGAGTCAGAAGACATACCAAATGCTTTTTATTTAAAAAAGAAAACGGTACATGCCTTTGTGGGACTACTTCTCTCTCACTGTCTTTCATCCTCTGAAAAGCCTAAATTTGGCTCACTTTAAAAATTGTAAAATGACAGGGCAGTTTTGTAATGGTGATTTGTTGCTCTAAATTTTAAACTGAAACCCCTCAAGATCTCCAAGGATGTAGTCCTCATTATCTTCCAGCGTTTCCTGCTGCAGTTTGTGGCTAACATCTGTTCTGCCCAGTGTTCCCTGGATGTGTTCTCCCTAGAGTTTATGCTCTGTCCCTTGCTCATCTTGCCCAGGTGGCCTTGCCCTGTCTCTTCCAAGTTGTTCGCGTTCTTGGAAATCTCTTGAGGGTAATTTCTAAGCCCTCTGCTCTATAGAGAGTGATCTTGCCAGCCCAGTGGAGTTTCCTACCACTGCCAGCAGCACAGCTTTCTTCAAAGCTTTGTTATAGTAGATATAGAGTGTATAAGATAAAAGAACTATCCCTTATCTGCCTTTTCCATCTCAGCATATTTGTTGAGATTCCTAAAAATAATTTTAAAAATGATTTTGTATGTTCTGGAATGTTCTGTGAATTTGCGAGTAGTTTCCTTCTGTAAATTATTTTTCTCTTAAAATGTTAATATACTGTTACTACATTTAGCTTCAGTTCATTCATTCTCTAATATGTCAAAAAAATTTCAACTCCATTCTCGTTTTGAAGGCATATGGGTGCTTCTTGTTGATATGGCTTCTATAAATGGTATGTTAGCAAATTTTCTTGTCACTAAAAACCCAACAGATGCAATGTAAGAAAGGAGAGATTTATTTTGTTTGACTCAATTTCAGATGATTCAATCCTTCATGACAGGAAAGATTTGGCAGAAGCTTCATGTCATGGTGGTTGGAATGTGTTCAAAATGCATACAGTCCCACCTCAAAAATTTCCATGGTCTTGATACTCAACACCCTTCAGAAGTCCGAGTGCTTTGAGAAGCAAAGGAGGACTCTTAGCTGAGAGTCCCTATAAAATACCACAAATACTACAGCTTACAAAGGCACAGAGTAAAAACCCCCATTCTACAAAGTAAGTCTGAGAGAACAACAAGGAAAAACTGGACCAATGCAAAACTAAATCCCAGCAGGTAAACACAGGCTGCATCTCAGTGTCCAAATACACCATGGCATTATGTGAGCTCCGATAGACTTCCTCCAGCCAGGCTGCCGGAGCGTCCTTGGGATTTCTCTTGGGTTGGCTGTGGTCAGTGTCCCCTGCTTCTTCAACAGACGTTCTATGCTCTTGTCATTTCCAACATCCCGGGGGCTCCATTAAAACTTAGGTTTCATCTTTATCGTTTCACACGGCATTTCAGAGCCTTTCTTCAAGGACTCTGTTTACACACTGTCCTCACAGGCTTGTTAATGCAACTATGGAGCAAGCACTTCTGATCCTATGACCCTTATATCCTGCATTTCTGCTAAAGCAGCATTATACAGATAAGCCAGGTCCTGCCACCTTGAACTGTGAACCAGCACCTCAGGATATGGCTGTTGGCCTTCTCTAAGCTCCTGTGCAGCTAGAGCAGAAAGACTACTTCCTAGGTGTTCCTGCTTGAGCTTTTGAGATGAAAGACCTTGGAATGGATTTTCACGCTGCAGCCTTCCACCGGTGTAGTCTTGTTCCTATAATGCCATCAATGTGAAGTACATGGTTTCTCTTTAACTGTGCTAATCTGTAACAACTTTCACCCACCTTTCCTTTAAAGGAACTCATTTTCCAAAACTTTTGTCTTTTCACATCTTACTACTCATTCTTTCCTAATTCACACTGCTTGCCTGGCACCACTGGCCCAGCAATTACCAATTGAGAACACAGGGATACATTTTTCACAGCCAGGAAGTACATTTGTGGGTCATCCTAACAAAAACCTGTGTGCAAGAGCGCTAAAACTTAAGGAAAGAAAAGCATGGTATTTGCCAATACTCCATCTCAGATTTTTGGCAGTTAAAGGAAAACCACACGTCAGGAGCAGGGCACTTTTCCATAAAGGTCCTAACATGTGTTTCTTTTTCTTTTCTCCGAGATGTCCTTCCATTCAGCCAAGGTCCTCAGAATTTCGGATGTACTGGGTCGTTCCGTGGGCTTCTTCGAGAGTAATATCATTAGAAGGCTTTTCTGTTAAGTACAGTTAAGAGTCAGTACTGAGTAAGAAAACAGTAGAAAAGAAATAAATGATGGCTTTCAAGTGCTTACTTCTTTGCTGTCAAATGTATCAGGAAAGGTGCCACATCTTAGCCTTTCGAAAAACTGAAATGCAACAAATAGATGTATTTACTAGGGAGTGATTTACATAGGAAGAATAACTGAACCCACTAGCAGCTGGCGACACCCTAAACCTAGAATATTTCTAAAATTTAGGATGGACTCTTTAATCAAGAAGCAAGCAGAACTCCCCAAGCCTACCCAATCTTAGAACCTTCCTAGAGAGTCAATGCATGGTACCCATCATCTCCCCTCTGTCGTGGAGTGCTAGGTAGTGCATCTTCTTGTCATCTTTACTTTAGGGAAGATAAGGCTCTTGACTCCAGGCAAGCCACTTTGCTGAGCTTCAAGCTAGGATGCCCAGTCACCTGCTGTCTCCAGCGGTCCCCACCATCTACACAACAAAGCCCAGACTCCTTCCTCTGGGTAGCCCCGGCCTCGCCTCCTTCCAGCCACAGCAATCACCAGTTTCAGATAAAACCACACGGCCTGCTGTTCCCAGCACACACTGCATGTCCTTAGCCCCGTGCCGAGGTTACGTGCTTTCTACTTCAGACTACTAGAATGAGCTAAGTCAAGCTGTCCTCTGACCTTCATGAACATACCATAGCAGATGAACATATGAGCACACACCTGTGTGTGCATAGGCCCTTAAATAAGTAATAAAAACAATAACAAAACCTGACCCTTCAGTACCCAACTCCCATGTTTCCATGAAACCTAAATTCAAACTTTTAGCGATTTCCACATACTTTCTGTCTTCTAAAACATTTAGTCATTCTCTGCTGTTAATCTTTTTTCCTCTTAGAAAATGAATCCCCTGAGAAACTGGCCTGCTCATTTTTACATCCATGTAGCACTTAGAGCAGAAACTTCCCTCCAACCAGTGAAATTTTGTTAGCACACTTGAATAGGAATCTCATGGGATGCATGCATAGTCTAAAGAAAAACAAAGTTTTTAATCTGTAGCAAAACGAGTTGTCAACACTTGAAAGGGAAATTATGGCCCATTTATAAGCAGACGCTCATGTGTTCAGACACAGCCTCACTGCACAGCCATAGCAGCAGTGCTTGAAGGACGACGCCAGTGATTTAGCTTGCTTTAGCTTATTCATGGGATATTTACCTTTATTTTTTCTGAAACAGTGAAGCATATGTGACGAAGTTCAGCCAAAATAAGTCCCAAAGCAAAGATGTCCACTTCTTTTCCATATTCCTGTGAAGACAACTGAAGACCAAAATATATTTGTCTTTGTTACTTAACTAGAATAAATCCCCATACCTTTTGAGAAAAAAAAAAAAAAACTAGGTATAAATTATATATTACATTCAAATGTCTTTTTATTCCAGATCTCGTGAAGTTGAGCACTAAGATTAACCATCGCATAGGAACATAAGGAACACACTGAAAGTGACATAAAACAAATTTACAACTAATTTTATACTAAATGGTAAAAGTGGGAGCATTTCCACCAAAATTAAAATTGAGACAATGGGATGTACTTTCTCTACCCATATTCAATATAGTTCTTGAACTCTTAGTCAGATAAGAGAAAGATTATTAAAAAAAAAAAATTCAGATAAGAAAAGAAGCCAAATTCCCACTTGTAACCAATGCAATCCTGTACATAAGAGACTCTAAATATGCTATCAAAAACTCTGAACTGGATACAAAGTCAACATCAAAACTCAGAAGTTTTGGGCCAGAGAGATCACCCAGCTCCCTACTTTTGCAGAGAGCCTGAATGCAACCCCCAGCCTCTATATGATCGTTCCCGGCTGTCTGTGGCTCCAGTTCCAGGGAAGATGACACTCTTCTGCCCTCTTCTGTACAAGGCATGCATATAGTGCAAATACACAGACACAATCTCATACACATGAAATGACTATTACTTCAAAATGAGTAGGTTTTCTATGTTCCAATAATGAATGAGCTAAGACAGTCAATCAATCTTATTGATGATAGCCTCAAAGAATAATACACTGAGTGTTGTGGCACACGCCTTTAATCGCAGCACTTGGGAGACAGACAGATGGATCTTTTAAATTTGAGGTCAGCATGGTCTACCGAGTGAGTTCCAGAATAGCCAAGTCTACAGAGAAACCCAGTCTTCCTGTGCTGGTGATTCAGCAGAATTAACATTGAAAATGAAAGCCAAGCAGGTGGTGTACACCTTTAATCCCAGCACTCAGAGAGGCAGAGGCAAGCAGATCTCTCTGTGAGTTTGAGGCCAGCCTGGTCTACATAGTGAGTTCAAGGACAGCCAAGGCTACACAGAGAAACCCTGTCTTGAAAACAAACAAACAAACAAACAAAAAAAAAATCAAAACGACTCTAGTACTAAAATTGATCTACAAATTCACTGTAATGCCCATCAAAATTCCAATAACACACTTAACAGAAGAAATCTTAAAATTCATGTGGAAAAACAAAAGACTCCAGAGAACCAAAAATCCTAAGCAAAAAGCATCACTGGAGATATCACAATACTTGATGTTAAGTTATACTACAGGACATAGTAACAAAGAAGGATGGAAGCGACACAGAAGAAACAAGTGGACCTACTCAGAATAAGAGACCCCAAATTAAACCCACATAGCTACCTCATTTTGACAAAGATGTCAGACACATGCACTGTAGAAAAGAGCATCTTCAACACATCGTCCTGGACAGTTGGATATCCATACTCTGTCCTCTCTCTCTCTCTCTCTCTCTCTCTCTCTCTCTGTCTCTCTCTTTCTCCCTTCCCTTCCCTTCTACCGTGTATATGTGTGTCCATGAGCCTGTACACAAAAATCACTTCAGGATGAATCAAAGACCTAAAACTGTAAAAGTGTTAAGGGAAAATACAGGAAAGCATTAAAAGAAGGCACAGGCAAGGAGTTTTTGGAAACGGCTCCAACAGCCCAGAAAACAATGTCAAGATTTGACAAATGGTACTGTATGAAATGAAAAAGCTTCTACACATCAAAAGAAGCAATCACCAGGGTAAAGAAACAGCCTACAGAATAAAAAAATCTTGGCTAGCTAAGCGTCCGATAAATATGTAATATCCAGACTATATATAAAGAGTCCCTAAAACTGGATACAAAAAGAACTCACACATCCCAGTCAATAAATGGGGCTAATAAAACATATCAGACAGTTCTCAAAAGCTAAAAAATAAATGGCCAATAAACATGGAAATTATTCAAGATCCTTTGCCATCAGAAAAATGCAAATTAAAACTATAGTAAGATTTCACCTTGCCCCAATAAATGGCTGTTATTAAGGAAAACAACAACAAATGCTGATGAGGATGTGAGGAAAATGAAACCCTTGTATTCTACTGATGGGAAGGTAAACTAGACCGGCCACAACAGAGCTTAAATACCTCCAAAGCTACAAAGAGAGCTGCCGTGTGACTCAGGTGTAGCTCCCCTGGGTAAGGACTCTAAGGGTTCTGAGTCAGCACACCACAGAGGCACCTGATTACCCATGTGTACCACAGCTCTCTTCACGCCAGCCACATCATAGAATCAGCCCCAGTGGCCATCAGAGCACGAATGGATAAAGAAAATGTGATACATACATATATATATGTGTGTATGTGCATGAATGTGTGTGTGTGAGATATGTAATGTATATATATATATATATATACATATATATATATATATATAAAATGGAGTTTTATTCAGATGTACAATATTATATCATGCTTGAGCAAACAGATGCAACTTGATACAGTGATATTAGAAGGAAGAGCCCCATCTGGGAAAGAAAAATACATTTTCTCTCATTTATGGATCCTAGATCTATGTAGTATAGAAACTAGCAAAAAGGGAGGGGACAGAAAGAGGGGGCTATGGGGAGGGACCTGGTAAAGTACATGATATACTTGGAGAGTTTCCTTATGAAACTCAGCACTAAACACAGTGAATAGATGACAGTCAAATCTGTTTAAATTGTTAAGATAATCGGTTTGCTACTTTAATCACTTGTGTAAACAATCCCACAGCCTTAAGTGCTTTCACAGTGTTGTCATCGCCACCACCTATTTCCACAGTTTCCAGTGTGCCAGGCAGAAACTGTGCATATTAAACTAACTTCCTTCTTCTCCCAGCTCTCAGGGAACCTCTTTTTCATATTAGAAATAAAATCAAGTGACAGTCCTTCCACATGATATATTAACATTTATTTAAAATAGGTGAAAATATTAGAAAAATTTTAAAAATTTATCACCCTGTGGTATGAAAGGTCTCTAAAGTAAAAACAAGGAGACTGGTAATTATCAATTATCAAACTACAGTTAAACACAACAAAACCTCCTAGTCCACAATTAGTGTCATAAGCAAAGAAGTAACAGGGAGAAAAAATTGCAGTATAAAATCATACATAGAACTATAACCCAAATATGGAAAGATTCTTTGTAAACACATAGCAAAAGACAGACTATTTATGAATAATTAGAAAGTACATGATTAGAAAATTTACAGAAAAAATTAAGTAAATACGAAAATATTGAATACCTTTAAATATTGAAAATACAAAGAAAAATAGCAAACTATTCCTCATGTGTCAAAGCTGAGGATTTCGTACACCCTGGCTTGAGACTATCAGAAAGCATTCTTTCATACTTTAATGTGGGAATTATTAATACTCAATTTTTGGATGACAATTTGGAAGCATTTGTTATGTTTGAAAAGCAGTGGTCTCCCAATTCAGTCACTTAGCATAAAGGAGTCTACAACAAAGTACCAAAAAAATGCAGTTAGCATTTATAGTATCTCTATATTCTAGTATCTGTATCTATAATATTTATAGATTAGGTACCTGCAAATTTGATGACGTGAAAATCCACTGCTTGTATATTGAATATATATAGACTCTTTTTGCTTTGAATTCATTACCCCCAAACAATATACAGCTGCATATTATATATAATACATTATAGGATCCCTGAAGTTCATTGGCCAGCCATCCTAACCAAACTGCTAACTTCCAGCTTCAGTGGGGATACATTTATATTCAGTCTCAAAATACAATGTAGAAGGCCTGTGAGATGGTTCTGCAGGTTAGGGTTCATGCCTTCAAGCCTGGTGATCCAAGTTCCACTCATAGAAACCCCTCATGCGCAGCAAGTACTTGTCTCCCCCTCTCACAATGCACAAAGTAAACAAATAATGTAAAATTGTATATGGTTGTTAGGAAAATGGCTCAGCTGTTAAAAGCACTGGCTGCTCTTCCAAAGGACCTGGGTTCAATTCGCCTATGTGGTGACTCAACATCGTGTGTGTGTGTGTGTGTGTGGTGGAGAGCAATCAGAGAAGATAACTGACATCCTGACACAACCTTTGGCCTCCATATGCTCATGAACAAACATGCACACACCACACAACACGTACACACACCTACATGAACTTGTAAATACACCCCCCACAAACACACAGAGAGAGAAAGGAAAAAATTAAAGAAGTAAAATCTGCATCTGCACAGATAGAAAGGAAAGGGACTATACCTGTTCTGGACTCATGTATCGAGGAGTTCCTGTACCCTTTGTTCGTGATTTTCCATCATTTTCTAGGGCTGTTGCAAGGCCAAAGTCTCCAATCTTAATGTGCTTTTCATCTACCAGAAATATATTACCTGGCTGTAATAGAAGAAAATTATTACCACAGGTCCCAACCACAGGGGGTTCGAGATAGGGTTTCTCTGTGTAGCCCCAGTTGCCCTGGAACTCACTCAGTAGACCAGGCCAGCCTAGAATTCAAGAGATCTGCCTGCCTCTGCCTTCCCAGTGCTGGGAGTAAAGTCATGCGTCACCACCACCCAGCTCCAACCATCTTTCATGCCGACGTGTGTGGACAGCATTTATTTTTCCACAGGCTGCCCAAACCGGGGAATTTAATACCTTGGGTCTTTTAAGATGTCAACTGAAGAAAGAAGAAAAAACTTAAATGACAGGGAAGGTGGCTTGGGTTCCGAATATCATATCAGCTGTCAAGGGAAAAATTCAGTTTGGTGGGTCCCAGGAGAGGGGTCCAGGACTGGAGGGGCAGGCATTAGTCAAAAGAGCTGCTTTCATATGCCCTAATCTAGTGAGCTGTCCAAGCAATGGGAGTTGGAGCTTGCCATCCCAAATAGTGCTGGACATCCATCCCCCTGAAGGAAGCCTGCTGGTGTGACCGAGACCTGACGGGAATTAAACCCCTTCCACTTTTTGAGAGTCTCTGATGTCTCAGTTCCCGGCAATACTACAGCGTATTCCGTGCAGGATTTCTCCCCAGTTCTGAAAAGGTTTAGTCAGTATGTCCCCTCCACCTTGTTAAGTAGAGTGATTGGGAAAGGAAAGGAATTAGGACCAACGGGGACACGACCAATGAAGAACACGAGCAGAGCTGCCCAGGGACTCATCATGGTAGATCTGTGATAAAGAAGGCAATCACAGCCCAAAGGGAACGAGACTTCTAATAGGATCACTGTCACAATAAGTTCATGGGCCCCAGAGACCCGCCGCGCAGTGGCATGGGACAGCATTTGGGGTACATTCCAGATACACTTGAAGCCCAGTAGATTAGAGAGTTGTTTTTAGCATGACTAGCAGCTGATCACGAATCTAAACCTAAAGAAGATACATTTTAAAGTTGTTAGACTGTGTATCAGCTAACAAAGTTCCGGCTTACCTTGAGATCTCTATGAATTAAACTTTTTGAATGTATGTAATCCACCCCTGTCACTATTTGTTCAAATAATTCCAAAACCAAAGCTTTGTCTGCTGTACTCTGCCTTCTGTCTTCCATCCATTGTTCCAGGGTTCCTTTATCACAGAATTCCATTTGAATAAAGAGGCACTGGGTCTTTGATCTGGATATAAAATTCATAGTACATTAAAAGTAGCAATTAAAATAAATTCATTTAAAAAAATTCTACCATATCTTATGAAACACAAAGCATGTCTCAGAATGGAAATCTGAATTTAATAAACTTGAAATGAAATAAACCATTTTATAGAAATTATAATTTCCCAGTTATCCAGAGCTTCAATTGTTTATCTATAAAGTATGAGCCTATATATGCTTTAATGCTCAAGATCTTTCATTACTTTTGATGGCAGATATGAGGATATGAGAAGCATTAATTGCAGAAATCCAGTTTTTTCACTATTATAAAAGTAATTTTGAAGCACTTTAATTTATCATCAGTTAAATGAACATCTGTTTTATAAAGGGCACAGAATCAGGACCTAGACAGGAGAAAATGAGTTCGGTACTTTCCTCTTCATCATGCTCATTAGAGTCTCATACAAGAGATGGGGGGGGGGCAAGCCTAAGATGACAGCCCCTTAAGGAACCCCTGGAAACGCTCCCTAAATTGGTTGCTGTAAGACAGGAGTTGAAGGGCTGATTCTGCTAACCACACAGTCTATATTTAATTCTGAGTTTGCTTTGAGACTGAATTTACATTTTCCAAATTCATATATGCCAGGAAATATGAGAGTGTAGCCAACAATTCGCTTAAAGCTAGCGAGGCCTGCAGTCTAGGGATGGTCACTGACTCCTAGAGTCCTCAACAGCACGAGGAAAAGATGGGACACGGCAGGAGATGGCGAATGGTGGGGTCTCCAGTGGCGTCAGGATTTCAGTGAGAAGACTGTCCCCAAGAAATCTAGAGGACTTTCAAAGGCAAACGACAGTTTTTTAGAATTCCCAGTCCTGTAGAGGGGCTGAGCCAAAACAAAGCGCTGCCGACACAATCAGGGCAAGCCCTGTCTCGGCAGCTCACCACCCCACCACAGTGGGACAGCGACACTGCAGGCATGCACTGCCGGTACCTCTGACGGGAGTTTCAGCAGCAAAAAAGGGGACCTTTGGATTCGGCTGCTAAATCCATCTCTACTCTTGTAAACCACACATGGCCCACACGGACACACTGAGGTCAGGATTACAGAACACGAGATTTTAAAAACAGCTAAGGAAATTTTAATAGTTTTTTTTTTTTTTAAGATTTATTTTCAAATTATGTGTCCGTGTCTCTGTGTGAGTCTGTGTACATGAATGCAGGTGCCCACAGAAGCCACAGGATACCCTGGAATTGGAACTACAGGTGGTTGTGAGCCACCTAACACAGTTGCTTGGCCCTCTGCAAGGGCAATTCACTGCTCTTACCTACCTCCCATCTCTACATCCCATTAAAAATATTTCTAGAGCAAGTTTGAGCTAAGCCTACTGGCATGTGCCTATGATCACAGTGCTTGGCAAGCCAAGGCAGGAGGACCACCCTGAGGCCATTCTGAGCCATGAAGTGAATCTAAAACAAAGAAATTAAAAGCAAGCTTGGAAGATGGAGGGGAACAGAGAAAGATCATTTATTGTCTGTAGAACAAGAGACCACAGTAGCCTTTGGAGGTTGTTTTGATCGTTAAATGTGACAGTCAACAGCGCCCTCTAGTGGCCGGCATGACAACTGACACGTGCCCTCCATCCCATCTCTGCTGTGAGAACTTCTTACCGATTTGCATCCTTATCCACGCTCTGCTCAGGATCATAGTCCTCTCCCAGCCAACAAAAATGGTATTGAACAATGTTGGCGTGATAGAGTGCTGCCAGCGCTGTTACTTCACGCACTGCCTTCCTAGTTAAAAAGACCCGGGAACAAACGTGTCATTACAGAGCCCTGATAACTACAGGACACCTTAAGCAACAACCACCCAGGCTTCTCTGTCCAGTCACCATGGTTTCCGTATTCAGTTTTAGCCAGAACTCAGAAGAAGAAAAAGTGAATGCACAGAGAAACCATACCTGTCCTCAGTCTCTACATAAAAGACCGTGACTTAAATAATAGACACCCAAAATTTAAACATCATTTGTATATTCTTTTGAGTGTCTGAAAAACAATTTTCAGTAGCTAAATTATATTTGCTATTCTGTTTGGAAAATGTATTAAAATCTTTGGATTTCACGAGCAAATCCCATTTAAACAGCAAGAGTAAGAAACCCAGGCAGCAAGCAAAACCTAATTTAGAATTTTTCAACTTATGACAAAAACACTTCAAGGGACTAGTTTATGCAAATAATAATAATAATAATACTCGGTACTATGAAAGCTTTACAGGGATTATGCTCAAGAGCAAAGGCACTGTTAGATTTTCTTGAAATTACCCTATACTGGCTAGTTTTACATCAACCTGACAAAAGCTGAAGCCATCAAAAAGGAGAGAGCCTCAAAACAGAGAAGTGGAGAAACCACATTAAATCAAATAAGTCAACACCTTCGGGCTTCAGTACTGTCTCAAAATGATACATTCATGTTTTTAAACTGAAATAAATACCCGCTGTAAGGTAAGGTCATTTCAGAACAAGGTAAACTCCCCTAGGCAAAGTAAGATTGAGGAGACCCAGAAGGAAAAAGCGAGTACGAAAGGAGAGACACACAAAGGGGAGCAGCGAAGGGTCAGCACACTGTTAAAAAACAAGACCTCTACTCACTCCGTGTTATATCTAACACGCTTAATAGCGTATGTCTTTCCGTCAATTTTGTGTGTGGCTTTGAAAACTTGGCCAAATCCACCTGAGCCGATTTCTTCTATGTTTTTGAAATCCTTGTTAAACCTAGTTAAAATTGACATCGCTGTTATTCTGAGGTTTAGTATTTAATGTAAAGTGAAAACAATTCTTCCCTTCTTGTTTTTAATAATGTCTGGTAGAACTCTTAGATCACCAAAAACAAAAACAAAAAAACAAAAAACAAAACAAAAACCATCTTCTTCTTCCTTCTTCTCTTTCCCTCCCTCTTTTAATATAGAGAATTCAGTATAACAGGTCACCCCTTCTGGGTGAACGTGGGTACAAAGAAGAAAAGAAATTCCCCTCCCAAGCATTAATGTTAGAAAGAATCCCTCAGTTGTGTGCCACAGGTACGACAGAGAGACCGGAAGCCCGAGCCTGCTGTTTCTTTCCCTCCTTTTTCCCTACAGCCCATCATTAAGCCTTATTTCTTCTAACTCACATCACTGCCATCTGCCTGCTTTTCTCCATCATCTTCACTCCAGCCCGGCCATCCTGCAATTCTGCAGTGGTGGCCTGCTGACCGGCATGCCACTCCTCCTGCCTGACTTTAGCTGTGAAGACTTGGTCCGATTGCGTCTTCCTCTCACCCTCGACCTTCCTACAGCCTTACCTTTGTATTCAGCAAGATCCAGGAAGCCTCCAATGGCCCCTAAGGTTCCAGGCAGCATTTCCCCACGTCTTCATCCAACCCCATCCCATCACACTGTGCCCTGTTCACTACACTCCAAACACACGCTTCCTCCACAGAAAGGTGGCCTTGAGGCTTTGCTTCAATGTCTGATACTTCTGTTCTTCTTGAACTCTGCCAAGGTCTTGTAATTACAGTGTATGTGTGCCATATAAATATGTGAATATAGATTATGTATTCAGATACCAATACAGAGACAATGCATATATACAAAGTGCATATATGTATGTATACATATATACATTGTCTCTGTATACAGATACAAATGTGTGTGTGTGTGTGTGTGTGTGTGTGTGTGTGTGTGTGTGTGTGT